GCAGGTTGTGGTGTATTTGTAGAGACTGAGTAGTATTGGTTCCAGTCTCCCCCTACGTTTGTTGTGAGGTTGTCAAGTAATGCCATGTGCTAGTGAGTTGTAAATATATTGAAACCTTTTCCCTCGTTGAATACGCCTCACAGGTAAGCCTTCTTGTTGTGTTCCCAGCATGTTGGGTTCACCAGGTCAAGCATAGTGAAGTACCGGACGGACAGTGGACTCTTACACAGTCGTTTATTGGACTAAATCATGTAATCAGTCTAGCCGACTTGTTACAACACTTGTGGTGAAAACTAAAAAGGAATGCAGGATTTGTCTAAGGTAAGAAAACAAGCTAAATTACAAATATGATGCCAGGAAACACAACCAAAAACTAATAGAAATTTAGTGATCGTAACTCATGTCTGATCTTGGCTCTGGGGATGAGAAAACTCCAAGTTGTAAAAGAGACTCTATCCATTGAGCTTACCACCTCCCGGTTAGCTTAATGGATAGAGCACTGGACTGTTGTGCGGGAGGTCGAGGGTTCGAGCCCCGGCCGGACCAACACCCAAAGTCTTAAAATAATTGAGAAGAATATGCTGCCTTTCTATAACATCAAGAAATGGTTAGATATTCTAGTCTTCTCGGATAGGTACGAATAAATGGAGGTCCCATCTCCTGCAGGGTTAGGGGTAGGAGACATTATAATTTCCCACGCACGAGATTACTGTGTGATGGATGTCCTCCCCTGGGTGGGTTGTGAAGGCGGTAAGTAAGATAACTCATTGGGTTAATTACGTCACCTTCATTAAATAAAGAATATTGTATTGTATTGTACTATAATTATAAAACCGGTCAGTGTAAAACGCAGACTGCTGACTGCAGACTGGGGTAAAATGCAGACTGAGGGTAAAACGCAGACTGCGGACTGCATACCAGGGGTAAAATGCAGACTGCAGACTGCAGACCAGGGGTAAAATGCAGACTGAGGGTAAAAAAACGAGTCTTAAGGGTGAAATAAGGAGTGTTCGTAGCCGTAAAATAATGTCACATCAGGACTCACGAAACACACAAATTCCGCTTCACGCAGTATAAAAGTCACGTCGTCCCCAAGTCACATGGCACTGTTGGAAAACAAGGATGACAATCTAATGTCTTTCACAAACTTATATGCTTGATACCTACAAGTTTACCTTGCCTTGTTGTTGTGTTGTCGTGTTTTGCTTGCCTTGTCTTCCAAACAATTCCAAGGCCATATGAAGAATTTAAATGCTGAAAGAGTTACTCGGTCCGAGACCTATTCGCAGATGCACAATTCAAAATGGCTGACATGTAGACAAAGGTAAAATGCATAGCATTACGACCAGTTTGGGCGCTTTTGGGAAACTTGGTTCAACAAAATGGGGATTTCAAGAACTTGAGGTTGATAATATGTTTGACTAAGGCGAATAAACGCCTTTTGGTTTGAGTTTTCGGGATTTTGAAAAAAAATTACGGGTATGGGTAGGAACACTCCCATTAGTCTCGTTTTTTGTTATTAATATTTTATTTTACCCTCAGTCTTCATTTTACCCCTGGTCTGCAGTCCGCAGTCTGCATTTTACCGTCAGTCTGCATTTTACCCCCGGTCTGCAGTTGACAGTCTGCAGTCCACAGTCTTTGTTTTACACTGACCAATTATAAAACTCCTCTTTGCTCCAGGGACAACTCCTTAAAACAAAAATGTTCGCATGAAAAAAGGCCTAATATACTTCAGAATCTATGACATAAAGGAAACTAAACTGAAACAACTCTTTGTGCGGCTAGCCAAAAAATGATATTTTATAATCATGCAGGCAATCAAAATGAAAAAAGGCTACTTGAATCATTTTAAGAAAACAAAAGGTCATATCATGTTCTAAAGCATTCTTTGTACAGCAATGTGACACTTCTGTGTGTTATCATGCAAGGTGTGGTTTGCACACAAGTCCCTGCCAGATTCTCAGATGTTCAAGCTTTCCTTCTGTATGAAGCAACTGGACATATTGTGGCTCCTCAGGATGGGATGTTAGTCTCTCTTAATAGCCTTGCCCTTCAGTACAAAGCAAGGCCCAGGGAGGTACTGGACAAAGAATTTTGGTTGCTCCCAGAGAACATCTTCAGGATGGAATATTGGTCTGTCTATAGGCAACCCTTCTCCCCGAGCACTGAGCAAGGCTAAGGAAGGTACTGAACAGAGAATTCTGCTTGCCCCAGAGCACAAATCATGGACTGTACAAAGGTCTTGAACTAAAACGTTTTATTCTGAAGTCCAATATGCTTCCAATTGGGTCTTTTCCACTTGCACATATATCTATAAAACAATTTTGACAGCTTGTATGAATGTGGATAATTAAAAGTTCTAATACTTAAACAATATAGTTTTTTAATTGCAGGAAGTTATTGGTACTGCTATAGCAATATTTTGCCTTTTATCAAATGGAAAGTAAGTATCATTTTTGGCAACTCAGGAACCTTTCTTGCCATTATTCCAACAAAGGTTCTTGTTCTAGTATATCTTCTCAATTTCTAATAGTTTACAGTTGTTACTGAAAACATTTTTACCCCTCCCTTTAAAGGTTTTTGGTTTGAGCCCATCTCCTCTCTGGAGGTGAAGACAATTTTCAAAGCTCCCTCAGCTTTAGAATTTGTCATGGCCTCTACTGGGTGGGGTGGGGTGGATATTTTTCAGAACAGTGAAGTGATTCAGTAAATGGCACATCATGATTGACTTATGCCACTTGAGTCTTGAAGCCAATAACATCACAACTTCATTGACCAATCAGTTTACACGAACAGGAGTAACAATACTCAACTGATAACAATGTTTCACTTGACGGATCCTGATGATGACTTCCGCTAGCTCGGGTTGTTGAAACATCAATAACTACTGCTAAGAACAGTCCTTATTAGGACTTCTCTTACATTTACAATCAGACAATACAATCACAGGGTAGTGATTAATAACTATCAAGCTGAGCCTGAAATCTTATTTGTTTTTATTTGACAGGATTTCTTTTTTATGGTGGTTGTTCATATCACAATCACCAATACATTTATTTTCCTATCCCTTGACAAAATTGTAACATAGTTCACAGCCTAGTGATTAATAACTATCATTATGAAAAACTTATAATTGTTTTTATTTGACAGCTAGGTCATTCCTCTGTATGGTGGTGTACTTATCACAATCACTGAATACATTTATTTTCCTATTCCTTGATAAATAAGAAATTATGGTGAGTCATCTCGTAATCACTGTTTGGAATTGTTATGGGCCATTTAACTTCTGTCACACTTAGAACTCTGAACAAAATTGTAACAATGGGTGATGATAATGTGGACATAAGTTAAAGAAAATCCATCTTTTAAATGATAATTCATTATTTTGATGAAGCAGAAAAAATGATGTTGGTTAAGCTTTCGTTCCTTAAAAAGATACACTTGCAAGTCTATTGACAGGAACAACTGGAACTTGACCCGTCATAGGGAACAGGGGGGAGATACTCATTTGATTTTGCATGATCTTCATTTTAGGGCTAAGAATGCTGGAAGTATTCTTTGGATTTTTGTTAACTGTTATGGCTGCATCATTCAGCTATGAGGTAAGGCACTGTATGTTTTTCCTTACCCAAATTCATAGCAGCAGACCCAGGTTTTACAGGTTGTTAGATTGAGTATCAAACAGATGTTTTGCCGTATGATTTACAGTTCCAAAATTGACAGTGCAACTCTCCGTGAATATTGTTTAAGTGGCAATACTCTTTGATTTGTAATCTTGTAACAAACTTTTTTGGAACATTAAGAATGACACGCTTAGGGCCAATTAACTAGCTAGATTTACACAATGCACTAAATTAAGCATAGCGACATATATATGTAGCACTAAAAGAATTCAGGCTTTGACAGGATTGGAATACTTGCCCTCCACATACTATATGGGATGCATGTTAGGAGCATGGTACAGTTTAGATGGTTCTTCTTTCCCCTGGAGGAGTTTGATCATAATTTTTAATGAAATGGATTTTATTTGACCATTGGGTGAAAATCAAGTAATCAATGACCCTGGTAGGTGAGCTGTAACTAAAAGTAATTGCAGAATGAAGATTTTTTGGGGTTTCTTTTCAACAATTGTGGGTCACCTGAAAGGATCATTGCTTCACTTTACTGGCACTTAGAAGCCCTCCAAATTTTGCAGAGCAGTGGCCAGTCGCAGGGAGTTATGTCACATCAGACAGAAGACATAATCTGATGATTCATGTATCGAAAATAACATAAGGATTGTGCAGCAGGTTGCATGCATCAGAGACACATTTTTGAAATTCTGATATTGATTTTGCAAACAAGAACTTAACATTATAGCTGTCTATCTTCCTTGCAGTATGTCAAAGTAAAGGCACATCAGGATGAAGTACTCAAAGGACTTTTTATACCTTGGTGTGAAGACTGTGACAATAAAAGTATTTTACAGGTAAACGTTTTTTGATAGACTTTGTTTTGTTGCAATGTAAAGTATTTCTGGAGGAGACACAATGGGCAAATTGTGAGGGCAGTGAATTCTTTATCCAACAAAGTAGTTTTGAACCGTCAGTGTCACTGTGTTGTATTTTATGGCCAAGATCACTGTTTCTCTCCACATCCACGGGTAGAGACATTAAGTGATAGGTACCTGATGCAATTGAACACATGCTCTGGGTTTGGCCATGGCTCCAGAGGGTTAGGCCAAGTCTGTTAGGCCTATTCCAGTTTGTGGAGTATGAAGCATTTAGGTGTATTACTGCTTATCTTGGATAGGGTATTAATTTGTCTCTGGGAAAATAGCCCTCTCCTCTGCTTGGTTCACAAGCTGGTACCCAATTATACTTCTAGCTTGCAGAAGATACTTGTTAGAATGAAGTGTCACACTCATGAACAGAGCAGAGTGGCCTGGCCTGGCAAAGATCAAATTCACGTATCTGGATTGTTAATAGAGTACATCAAAAATTTTTAATATAGCCATTGCAGTTACTGATATTTTGGAATTCCATCCAGTTTCTCATGGATATTCTACAGAAAGCAATCAGAAATAAGGATTGTATAATAGTTATTTTGGTTAGTTCAGAAAGTTTACGCAAGAGGCAGATTACAAATATGGCAAATTCTTAGCTAGCTCGTCAAATTTAGGAAGATGTTAAGTATTCATCCCATTTGTTTTTTGCTTAAAACTTATTACTTAGACCATGATTGTGATTTTGTATGAAATCTGTTTTCTTGATTGAAACTGACCGCTCAAACTCTTTGTTAAAATTGCTTTTCAGGCTGTGGGTATCGTCGGAGCAGTCATCATGCCTCATAACATGTATCTAGATTCAGCTTTAGTTAAGATTTGTATACTTAAAGAATATGAATTTTTAGTGGAATAATGCTGTTTTAATTTACAAGTCCTCAATTCCCTATCCGGTATTTAGGTAAACCTATAAAATGAATACAAAAACAACACCACTATGCTTAAAAATGGGAATGAAAAAAACAGAGCATGGTCCAATGCAACGCACTGGGGGGTGTCTCGAAAACTTAAAGACCTAAAACCTAAGACCTAAGACCTAAGACCCCTCGAAAACTAAGACCTTTCGAAAACTAAGACCCCTCGAAAACTAAGACCCCTCGAAAATAGACTTTCTCAAAGTTGTTCGCTTAGTTTTCTGTTCAGGTGTGTTACGACCCGCAGGAACTTCGCTCGCGCCTCGCGCTCACTGTTGCGCTACGCGCTTAAAAGCGCGACTTGTGAGCAAGTCTATGAAGGTGGATCCTGGACAAAATGTTCGATTCGTCGTTTCGTTATGGCGTTTCGTCGTTTCGTTATGTCGAGTCGTTGTTTTCCGAGTTCGACTCGTCGAACTTTCAGTTCGTTTCGTCGTATTGTCGTTTGATTCGTCGGCTGGCCTCTTCGACTCGTCGTTGTACGAGTCCGACTCGTCATCGACCACATCGGGTCGTCGTTTTGTCGTTTCGTCATTTCGTCATGGCATTTCGTCGTTTCGTTATGCCAATTCGTCGTTTCGACTTGTCCTCTCAACAGGAGCTATAATTCAACCTAAATTACATGAAGAATTACTTGATTCCATACACTCTTACATGAATCATTAATGTGGGAGCTATAATTTGCTCTCTGCCGAAGGAAATGGATTCTTTGAAAAGCGACTTATTAAGGCTAGTTTTCATTAGTGACGGAGTCGGAGTCGGAGTCGTAAGAGCGCCTATGACCCAGTGAAAATCGAAAAAAGGAGTCGTAAGCGGAGTCGGAAGAATCAGAACGTTTCCATTTTCTTCCGATTCCGCTTATGACTCCGTCGCTTACGATCTAGTGAAAACTGCATTGTCAGAGTCGGAAGCGGAAGAATGAACCAATCACAATGCTTTATTCCATGCCCGCTAAAGTACAAATTTTGGCGCGTTT